ACATCAGCCTCAGGATCCTTCCAATAATCCCAGCATCACATTCACCTCCTGTTGCTTCACCTCCAGCTATTCAAATATTGTAACTAAATCACCAAAACAATGTGCACCACAACAAACATGATATGCTTCCCTCTGTCTTACAGCACAAGGTGACCTGTAACCCTTGGAGCAGGGTAGAACTGGTGCCTGAATTTTCCAGCTTGAAAGAGGAAATGGTTTTCCGAATTATGCAGTCAAGTGGAGAAGAGTCCATGGCATCTGGCGTTGCTAAGAGATTTGGTAATTATGTATTCCTGCATTACACTCAATTTCAACTCCTGACTGGACTGCATCCAACTGCATGACACAACAGGCAAGCTGCTAATGACACATATAACACATGCTTTGCTTCCAGGCACCTCCCTTCACACCAACTTTCTGTTGGTGATTTCTGTTCTGAGACCCCTGCCAGAGAACACACAGAAAGAAAAATATACCAGTATAGCACTGATGAAGAGGGCCCTGTGACTTGATCTGATATTGTGAGACATCAGTTTGGGTGTTGGTAATGCTCATATCTTAGTGGTTATACATAGCAGCAGAAACTATGGGTGCAAAAGGTCTGAATTATTTGGAGGACAGGATACTTTGTGCCCCAGTTCACGTGCATATGAGTATGTGGACTTGTGATTTGCAATGTTGCACACTAATACCACTAAAGGGGACTCAGATGAAGACTTCAAGGATAGCACTGAGGGGAACGCTGGTGCTGATGCACAATCAGATACTACTTGCAATGGTTGGCTTGCTATACAGTTTTCTATCGATCAAGGAGCATGCAGAACTCCAGCTCCAATTTTACTGAAGGCATCACACAGAGCCTGGAGCCTCTCCTTTCCATCTTAGCTGTGGTACTTAACTCCATGCCAATCCTAGTGGATGCAGCGAGTGGCCATCACCTCCACTTCCATTGCAACATAACTGGAAGCCACCCAATGATCCAAGCTTGGTATCAAGGAGGCTCAAGTTTTTACCATGGTGATTGTGCAGCACAGTGCTCAAAGGGACAGATTTTCACAGCAGTCTGGCAATCTAGTGAGCAGCTGATTTCAAGGAGGTCCTCTTCCTCTTCGTCCTCCCCATGCTGTCCTTGCTGCAAACTCTGCTCCGATATCTGGTATATTGCAGGCCTGGGCCACTGCCACTGCAGCCCCTACACCTACTACAACCTGTGTCAGGATAAGTCACAAAACCTTCTTCCCTGTGACAACACAGCAACACTCACTCTCTAATTCAATGACACAACAGAACACCTCGAAAGAAACTCCATAGTGTTTCTAGGAACTTTGCAATTGCTGATATTAATCTAAATTGCTTCCAGTTGATGACTATGTCTTTAAATAAAGCTGGCTTGGCAGAGAGGGTTTCCTTTTGCTGCTGAGTAAATGCTCTTTGTTAAGCGACAAGAATGTGTGTTCAGTGGCCCAGTATTGCTCAAGTTCAGCATACGTGTGTCAAATGATACAGAACAGCTGATGGACATCAGGATTTGACCAGCTTAGATATCTCTGGCAGACACAAGGTACACTTACACAAGGGCCTGTGCCAGTCTGTGTAGAAGTACACTTACATGAAGTCTCCAGCTTCTGTCAAGGCAGCTCGAATAGTACTGCAGAGCCACATTTTACAGCTTTTATATTTTAATTACTTAAACACTTTGGTATCATTTAAACTATGAAATATCCCTTTTACTACCTGTGTAGGAATTTTAGGGGCCTCCTCCAAAGCTGCTAAACCAATCCTTAGCTGTAAGAGCAACACAGGGTAACTAAGCACCTCTACACAAGTGTTCTGTGCCTGCTCCGATTGGGTACTTGCCATTTGCAAAATCAAAGTTATAAACATTTTTGTCGTCAGCTTTAATTTATTTCATCTTTTTGTTGGATGAACTTGGTTTCAAATGAAATAAAGATGTAACTGTATTTTGAAAATGATTAAATGACTTGGACAATTTAATCCGATGAATGAATTTTATTTCCAATAAATTCTGTTCATGTTCGCAGTGTAATAACTGCAGCCTTGTAAAGATTCTGATTGTGAAGACAAAAGAAAACATAGAGCAAGTAGTGATATTTGAGACATTAAGTCAGTCTCCCCACAGACTCTCATACAACTCACTGTTATGTAGACTGTACCAATACATTGAACACCCCAGGGAAAGGCTCCACATCTTTTGTCCAAATTCATATTTAGCAGAATACATTGTAATTTTAATTCACACTATACATTGTTGGCTTGTTCTTTTCAGTACATGACATTTTCATGATCCAGTAGCTTACGAACAAGTTTCATACAGCATTCAACTAACTGTACCAGTACTTATTTTGATAATAAGGTTGTGGTGAATGCTTTTCAAACTGGACCAAAATACACAATATTGCCCCCTGGACACTGGAAGCAATGTTCTTTTTGATATAGGTCAATTCCCTGAACTTGGATATTAAAATTTACAGACAACGTAAAACTCAGCCTGAAAGGATGACAGAAACAGATTCAATGATAAATTTCAAAATGGAATTGGATAAATCGCCGAAGAGGAAGATTTTGCAGAATCATGGAAAAAGGCCTACTCTTTGAAAGGGTTGGAATGGGTATAACGGTCTGAATTGCCTCCTTGCATGCTGTAAGTTTGAAATAATCTTGTTTTTCTCAGTACGTTGATCAACATGCATCAAAACACATGCTTCAGTAAACTCCTGACAAATCTACCGTAGTATTATTTCTGAGATACAGTGCACACCTTCTCCTTGTTGGGACAGGTTTGCTCACTGAAACCCAGACAGCTAAGGCATTTGGGATTTTACAGTGTGCACTGAAGTTCTTTTTGAATTTAAGAGTTAAACATGACAATTTGCCAAAACAGGTACAGATATGCTTCTCTGCACTCACCCAACTATGAATACTGTGCCCATTAAGGCATTGATGCTTATTTCAGAGCTGATTCAGAAGATTCACTGTCACTCGAGATAGTTCTAGCCTTCCCATGTTACATTGGTGAGCCAGGATGATTGATAAATCAGCAGCAGTAAACTGGAATATTGTGAAATCATTTGGCTCAGGTATTATATCACCACAGGGGGGTGAACATGATACCTGTCTTCTTTTGCGAAGTGCATCATCCTAACTCCAACTGGCTTTACTAAGCTCTTTCCCAAGAAAAGGGGAAAAGAAGTTATTCACACAGCTGGCAATTGCAGGCTGCAGCCCGTTCAAAGATAGCAGCATTTACAAGGAACTCCAACTGTGGAATGATGAACAGCCATCATCCTTCTCATGGCAGCAGGAGTAAAAACCCACTAAATAGCAGCTCCACACCTGGCAAGTACAAAGCTTTAGCAAGAACCTTGCAACCTAATTACAGCAGATACAGGACTGAGAGAACATAGCATGTTGCAGCTGTAGGAATTGGAGCTGGCATTCTGACCTTCATCGCTTCCCTATCAGTGATGTGTGAGTCCTTAACATGCATCGACAGAGGACAGCTTGTAATGCATCAGGTATCTTGGTAATCTAATGTTCAAATCCTGAGCACAGACTCACTCATCACTAAATGTATAATACAGAATACAGTTCCTTATGTGAAGAGATTTGGAGACACATAGAGCTGATTGTGCTTCCTGTGACACTGAGACAATAGTTGATAGGTTTCAACTATTTTTTGTTTTAACTATCAATCAATCTTAAAAAGGGATTTTGTACTTAAATATATCAAAGAGTGCTTCTGTAGCATGCCCAGGTATTCTAAGACATTTAGGTGCCCATCTGGATGAGTACTCTGTATGACATAAGCTTAACTGCTGTAATTGAAAAATAAGGTCAGAAAGATGAAAATCCCTTCAACCTTCCTTGGAACAGTTTGATAGGCAGCAAACATCAGAACTCTGAGGGACTGGTATCAATTATGAGCTAGGAGAGATATTCTTTATATTTTCTAACCAATTCCCTTGAGATCTTCTTTTGGGCTGTAGAAAGATTAATAAATATCTTCGTGGGCACTTACACACCTGACTGGATAGTCCATCATTCAAAGCAGTGAGTAGATCACAATAGATTCCTAAAACCACAAGATCAGCAGTTCTAAGGAGCATTTTAATTCACCCCAAAATGTCTGGAACAGACAGTCAAGATTGCTTCCTTCCATAGCCTGCAGTCACACCATACTGGGGGCTTTCCACCACACTGAGCTGACCTTAATCGGGCTTGCAAACTACTGACCGCCATCTGTGACAGGCTAAACACATTGGGCGCCAGTCTGCCAACTGCCAGTCACCCCGCTCCAGTCCCCCTGCCTGCTGACCACTGGGCATCCACTTCACTCTGGGCCACTGACCACTGGGCATCCACTTCACTCTGGGCCCTCATATGCTGCACCGTCGCGCTCTCCCTCATTGGCCATCCATGCCTGCTTACTCTGAGTGAAGACCTCCTTCTACTACTCTCTTTTCTCTCCCTCACAGCCTTTAGTATCATCACTAGGTCTATGTCTGAAAATTGTTGTCATACCTCAGGTGCGGGCCACTGGCTCTCCTGCCACATTGTGCAAATTAAGATTTTTGTGATTCTACACTGTACAGTCACAGCCATGTAAAATAAGCTACAGTTAAGGTGAATGTAGTGAGTTGAAATCAGACCTGCACTTGAGTTGTCCTACCCTTGTGACTGTTGGCTTCCAAGATCACTTGCACAGAAATTAAGTGGTGGACCCTTTAATCCTGGGTCTCATTTCTGCTTCTCCCATGGATGGGATCGACACTAACTTCCATTTCTCACCTCTGCAGTGAGAATCCAGACTTTGCAATTAGTCCTTATGACATCACCCAATACACCCAATTACAATATTAATGTTTCAATAAGATCAGTCCTTAGGTTTTATTATTTTCTGGAAAGAGATCAATTCCTTTCTGATATTTGATAAAGACAATCAATGAAATAGAAAATGATAAAATATTCTGAGGCCATACCAATAAATGTAGAGGAGATGTGGTTGGACCTTTTGCAGAAATCTTTTCCCAGAATCCTCTTCTTACATAGTGGACTGTCGTTCCAGCAATGTTAAATGCTCCTGGATGTTCAATCTTCCAGTCACTATTAATGGAATGTTTGCTGGCATCTCGGAGAGCTGCAAGTATTAACATTTTAAAGGATAAATATTCAGTCAGAAAAATAAAAGAAGAGCTAAGAATGACAGAAGTCTGTCAACAGCATTTGCAGCTCTTTCGGTTTTTAATGACAGAAGCCTGGTCTGTTGTGATTACCTAAAAGCACTGATTTGTTAATATTGGTAAAGCAAATAATATGGGAAGAGAACAGATAGGTTCTTCCAAGTAGCTGTGTCATTAGAAAGGGAGTTAGGAACCTTATTTTTGTTACCTTCTTTACATTTATGACTTGAAAGCAATAAATAAATTGAGATTGAAATTGAGAGGAATAAAAATGGACAGATGTTAAAAGGACTGCTGACTTGCTATCACCTGTTTTAAATTGTTACCAAAACTTGAGATCTACCACTAAATGTTTTTCTAATTATGAAACTGCTACTCGTAAATGCACAAGAAGTACTAAGCCTCTTAATATTATAAATTTAAATATTACCAAGCTAAATTCTTTTCAATGTTATTTCCCTCATTATGTTCAATAATGTCATGCATACTGATTAATCCTCAAATTTGATATCAGTGAGAATAAACTGATCCACATTTATCTTTGAAGAAATACACTTCACGTAAAATTGAATAAAATGAACTCAAATAGCCTATTCTTTAAGGGAAAAAAAAGTGCATTTATCACTTTATTTCTTTGTTGACCTGTTAAGATTATAGTTTTTTTTAAAGTTTCAAAACAAAGGGTTCTTCTAAAGTTAAATGTAGCTAATTTCTTGGATTCCAATCACTGTTTATTGCAAATGTTTTAGTTTCTTGCACAGGCTGTGAACAGAAGCTACTTGGTAGTAAAGGAGTTTTGAATTCTCAGTCTAGTACCTTTCTCTCTGCTCTCTCCTTAAGAATTTTTTAAAAACTCAGATTCATAAGGTCCAAAATAAAGAGGGGACTGTCTGAATATTGTAATCATAATGTGAGTGTACAGGACATCAGATTTACAACATGTTGCAAAAGGCTGAGTTTAAAATATAAACAGAAAATTAAACGCAAGGTCTTTGTGATTTTTCCAGATGGTTGATTGACCCTCTGGGTAGTGGTTTTCTATTTGATTTAGACTGCTTTGTCAACCAGTGCTCCTGAGTATGTTCAAACTGGGATACCCATATACCATCTCAGGATACTTCAGGAGCTGAACTTTACATGTGATTATCACTAGCTGATTGTAAAATTTGTACCGTTGCTAAATTTAAATTTGCACTTCCAGCCAGAGGCTTCAGATTACTGATTTTAAGCATGCGAGAAGTCACTTTATCCTGTGCCAGTTCTAGAGTTTTAAATACCATGCTCCATGTAAAACTCTTCAAATGCACTGTACACATTTAATTACATTCACTTTAATCAAAGCCTCACTTTACTGACTTACATGAAACAAAAACCATGCAGTATTAATAAAGATTTGTATATTACTGAAAACAGTGACAGAATGTTGAGTCTCCTTAGTAAATGCGCTTGGCTCCCTTTATTCATTTGATCCAATTTTCTAGATATAATTAAAAAGAGGTTCCTGACAAGCCTATGTTCATTGGAGTTTTGGTATGGCCAGGAAGAAACAGCAAGCAATAAAGTAAAATATGAAATGCAGACATTAGTAGATAAAAATCTGTACAACAGTTGACTCCTAACCTCCCCACTACCTAAAAGGAAAGTTAAGAAGTTTTACGTATCTAGATCTAACTTCAAAAACGCCATGTGGAGTTGGTATAATCCTATATCAACAAGCTTAAATGTTCTTTGTGACTTTTTGTTTAAGCTAATCTGAGCACAAGAACTATAGTGAAATGTTATATGTGGCAAATCTCCTTCGAAACTGCATACTTTAAATGAAATCGGAACACTTCACTATTAATCGAATGGTAAATTGTAGTCCCTCCTTCAGTTTGTTACTTATTTGTTTCTAAAATTGTATATGTGATTGCCAAATAAGAACAAATGGTTTTAATGGACTATTTTACCAACAAAATAATTAAATTGACTGAACTTCCTATGAAAGATTACTAGCATTACCATAATTTCCACAATTGGTGACAAATGGAATTTGGCCTAGTAACGACACAGGCAGCATAAGTTTTGGAGTGTAGTACATGGGAGGCTAGCTCAGAGTATATGAAAATTGTTAAGCAGTGACACGTACGGAACAGTTGAGCTGAGACAGGCAGAATTGGTTATGAAGGTGGAAAAGGTACCCCGAGTGATGGTGCAGACATATCGCTGCAGGGTCAAATATGATACAAAGGTTGGAAAGAGCCTGCTTCAGCCTTAGACAGTTACTAGGGATAGTGATGGGATCGGTGATAGGAACACAGGAACAGGATTAGGCCATTCGGCCCCTCAAGCCTGCAACACCACTCAATAAGATCATGGCTGAAACGTGGCCTAACTCCACATACCTCCTTTGGTCCATTACTGTTAGTACGTTTGCTTAACAAAAAATTATCTAACTCAGATTTAAAACTAACAATTGATCCTGCATTCACTTTGTGATCCCATCCTTTGTGTGTAGAAGTGCTTCCTAACATCTCTCCTGAACGGGTATGGTCCTAATTTTTAGGAAGCAGAGTTTGTGGCAATGTCTGATAATATTGGTTTTGAGGCTGCTACATATTTCATTGTGAGAGATTTCTGTTGATCCAGTACTGATATTGAACAAACAATCTGATACTTTAGAGATAGTGGAAAGGTCTAGAGAGCTGGTTGTGATGTAGAGTCGGGTGACAGCAGTGTATATGTGAAAATGGATGTGGTGGTAGTTTGTACAATCCCCCACTCGGCATTGTTTCAGCAGGGTTAGAGGTAACACAAATTATGTTGAGGGGCTTGTTCACCTCCTTCCTGCCCACCTTCCCCCCTCAAATTTTACCCCCACATTATACTAGGTGACAGGGGTGACTAAAATCAACAGGCTTACTACCATATTTAAATAATTAGCAAAGGTCAGTTGAGCTTTTAGTGAGCCTACAGAGCAGGATAATTAGCTGCCAATGCCAACATGTGGCTACGAAGGGCAGGCAGGTGTGGAAGAGTGTTGTTTGGTCTGAACTTATAAAATTGAAAGGAAGGCGGAGGTCAGCTCATGAGTGCCCTATGTGCATTGGGGCACCTTCTCCTTCCTTCCTCACCACCTGTTCTCTAAAAACTGACCCCTCACTCACTTCCTGGGCTTTTGGAACCCTACTCACCCAAAAGGCCAGGGAGTGACCTTCCTGCGGTAATCATTGATCTCCTTTCTGTTCTCTCCCACAGTCTTAGCAGCTCCCAATGTAAAGCTCTAGCTCTGCTGGGGCTTTTAGAGTCTAGATTGGCCGGGAGCTGTCCAGGAAAGGGCTCTGTCACACTGCCTGGTGGATACTCCCACTCTCACCTGCTTTAACCTGCCAGCAGTGTGTGTGCTATGGCCCTGGGGCAGGAGCTTCTCTGTTGGCCATCTTTCATCTGGTGCAGGGGTGTCAAGCAATCTGCACCCCACCCCCCCCCACCAACCCCCCCAACAAAACGCCACCTAGTCCATTTGTGCTGAGGAGTAGCATGGAGGTCAAAATGGGAGGTGTCCAACGATAGGTGTTCGAGGCACATCAGGATCAAAGAATAACTCAGTAATATTAGCATTGAGTTCTTGAAGGTGAAATTAAATATAGGGAATTGCATTTTTCTTTAAACGCTGCCTCAAAGTAGTCCGTCTGAAACATCAGCCACCTATGAGGAGGTCATATAAAGGGATGGGGAAAATCCACAAAAATAGACACTGAAGGAACCTTTATAATAATGTACTCCTCTAGGACTTTCCTTCTTTTAAAAAGTGAAAATGTAAGCAGTGAAGCCCCAAGCAACAATGAATTACCAAGGTAACTGTGAGCTGGTTTCTCTTCAACAACTCGTATCCTCCTTGCTCCTGCAGGTATCACCAGAGCTTCCACATAGCCTGTAAAACAAAAAGAAATTACAATACAGTGAATTATCTTGCTATGTATCAATAAATTTAGCTGGGTATGGCGAGCCCTGGGCTAAGTGGTAAACAGCGAGGAAGATTGTTACCGATTCCAGGAAGACATAGATAGATGAATGAAATGTTCAGACACGTGACAACTGAAACATAATGCTGAGAAGTGAGGAATTAAGGAACAGAGAAGTCACCAAGTTATTTCATATATATTAAAGGTCAATAAAACTTTACGTAGTGATAACGGGGCAAGTCAATAATCCTAATATAAACTGGAATAGTGGCCTTGGAAAATGCACCTTTTCTTCAGTTGGGCTTGCTGTATGACTCACTTACACGTGCTAGAAGCCACATATATTCACATTCAAGGCTCTGTCCTTTGCAAAGAGAAAGAGTATGTTCATGCATTGCACTCTTTATAACTTAACAAAAACCTGGGGACAGTTTTTCCTTGGTGTTTTCCGAAAGCAAAACTTTGACCAATGAAAAGTGAATTTGGTTGCTTTGAGTTTCACCAAAGCTTGAAGTTAACTATTTCCTAATGCAATCTTCCTGGCAATGCATCCACCAACCAGAGCTCACTTGTCAATCTGTAACGTCTTCCTGTGGACTGCAATTTATTGCTTCCTTTGAAATTTGGATTATGCAAGTGTATACTCAGGAGTGCAAGAAAAAAGCTTTTACAATATGTCTCTTTTTCTTCAGAAAGTGTTCTGCACTACTAAACGTCTATCCTTTTCCACAGATTTTTTTTCTGATAACATTACCAAGTACAAATTTTTGAGTGCAGTAGTAGTGGAGCCCTGCTACCATTGATTAGAAGCTTGTTTCAACTGTGCCTAGAGTACTGTGGTGCAGGGTTTGGTCTCCTTATCTCAGAAAGGATACTATTGCCATCGAGGGAGTGCAACAAATGTTCAACGGACCTAACCCTGGGATGGCAGGACTGTCCTGTGAAGAGAGTTTGGGGAAAACCGGGCCTGGGCTCATAGAATCCCTCCAGTGCAGAAGCAGGTCATTCAGCCCATCAACTCTGCACTGATGCTCCGGAGAGCATCCCACCGAGACTCACCTCCCTACCCTATCCCCATAACCCTGCATTTCCCATGGCTGATCCACCTAGCCTGCACATCCCTGGACACTATGGGCAATTTAGCATGGTCAATTCACCTAACCTGCACATCTTGGACTGTGGGAGGAAGCTGGAGAAAACCCGCACAGACATGGGAAGAACATGCAAACTCCACCACAGACAATCACCCAAGGCTGGAACTGAACCTGGGTTCCTGGTGCTGTGAGGCAGCTGTGCTAATCACTGAGCCACCGTGCCACCACAACATTTCAGGTCCAGTGACCATTCTTCAGAGCTGTGATCTCTAGAGTGTGATTTGGGCTGGACGGCTAACAGTTTGCACAAACTGACCAGTTTAAACATTTAGACAAAGCCACTGAGTGGAAAGAGGCCATATCTTTAGAGTTGTGCAGCATGAGAGGTAATCTCATTGCAACTTACAAATTATGTAAAGGAAAAGGCAGGTAGAGGCAGGTAAGAGGTTTTCCCTGATTGGAGAGTCTAGAAACAGGGGCATACCTTAAAAATAAGTGGGATGCCATTTAGAACCAGGATGAGTATATTTTTTTTCTATTCAGAGGATTGTGAATCTTTAGAAATCCCCACCCCAGAGGGGTATGGGAGCTCAGTTTTCATGTATATTTTGAGATTGATGGATTTCTGATTACCAATGGTGTAAAGTGTTATGGTGATAGTGTGGGTAAAACACACTGAACAGTTGGATCAGCCATGATTGTGTTAAATGCCAGGGCAGGTGTGATGGGTTGAATTGCCTATTCCTGTTCCTAATAACTTCCCCACTGCTGATGTGAGACTAACAACTCTTTTAAGTTCTTATAACATAGAACAGAGAACAGTACAGCACAGTACAGGCCCTTCGGCCCACGATGTTGTGCTGAACTTTTACCCTGAACAAAAGGTCTATCTAACCTCCACCCCTACCTTATACTATCATCTACATGCCTATCTGATAGCCGCTTAAATGCCCCTAATGAGGCCGACTCCACTACCCTCTCCGGCAATGCATTCCACGCTCCTACCGCTGTCTGAGTAAAGAACCTACCTCAGACATCTCCCCTATATCTACCGCCACTCACTTTAAAACTATGGCCCCTCGTAATAGCTACCTCCACCCTAGGAAAAAGTCTCTGGTTGTCCACTCTATCTATACCTCTGATCATTTTGTACAGCTTTTCTTGGTCTATCCTTTTCTCCCTTGCTGATGGTCAAGACAATATCACAAATTTCAAAATAGTTATGGACAAGAACTAGAGAAATAAAATGTGAAAATAGTGTTGGAAGGCTAATTTCAATGACTTAAAATCGATTCTGACCATGATAGACTGGATTCAAAGATTAGTAGTTTGATCATTAAACAGCAGGAGGCTTTCAAAGATACAGTACTTCATTTGCAGCCTAGGCAGATTCCTATGAAGGGAAAAGGAAGATAATCCAAAGCCCAAGATACTTGGATGACTAAAATGTGATCAAAGTGAAAGAGAAAGAGACTTACGATAAATGTCTGATTCAAAAACAGCAGAAAGGTAAGCAGAATTCCGACATGCAGGGGAACACTATACAAAACTCAAAGAAAACTTTTTATGAAGAAGGGCCCCGACACGAAACGTCAACTTTCCTGCTCCTCTGATACTGCCTGGCCTGCCGTGTTCCTCCAGCTCCACACTGTTTTATCTCAAAGAAAACTGCTATTTTAATGCTTCTTAAAATCAGCCTGCTGCACTCTAACCTGAGTTTTGGTCTATTCAGTATATATTCATCTTCCTATTCAGGACAAAGAAATCGCATGGCCTCGTGTGACTATATTCCTGCAAAGTAGAATCCAGTGGCATGGGTTCTCTAGTCCCTGCACAATCACTACACTTATTTATTTAATTAAGCAGATAAAATTATATGTGGGTTGTGGAGTATATGAAGTTAATATACAGGATTGGCACCTGTTGCTAAACCAAAGAAAAGAATTGGTTAAAATCCCAAAAATGTACCGGTGTTTTCCCTCACTGTAGATTGATAATATAAAAATGTAAAGGAAGTCAAGAATGAGAACATGTCATACGATCCTCTGAAGCTCATTCCTCCATTACCCTAAATATCCCATTGTGTAAAATGCAGCTGGATACTACATCATGAATGTTTTTTGATCTAACATGACAGATTACATCTCTCCACCCCTCTACCTCGGTATTCAGTGCAGCATCAAAGAAACTTGGAGCATACTCTATACTGCTGTGCCATAATTCACTGGTTGTCCTCTTCAGACTGTTCCATAAATAGTTCCAGTGCCTGCTCCAGCCAGAATTCACCTCCCCTTTGTTAAGTGCAGGCTGGCTTTAAGAAATGCGGGCACGTTTAATTTGTTGCTAAACTCACACAAGTCTGTGCTCAGGCTAGCACCGGTTGCACGTAGCAATCAGCAACATATCAGACTGCTTAAAATTGATGTTCTGCCTGAACTGAACACATAATGCATAAATTAATCATGCACAGAAATCCCTATATCCATTCAGAAGGGTTGTTGAATTTTGTTGCAGTCAGTGTTAGGTTTTCGAGCATTCACAAGGACATCAGATGATGACTTGGATAGAAATAATATGCAGTGATATATAGAAAGGAGATTTTCTGATGAAGAGTCTAGGCCCGAAACGTCAGCCTCTCTGCTCCTATGATGCTGCTTGGCCTGCTGTGTTCATCCAGCCCTGCATCTTGTTGTCTCGGATTCTCCAGCATCTGCAGTTCCTACTATCTTTGGCACAAAGGAATAAACTTGTTGCTGAATGGTATCATTCTGCACTGTAATAATTCTGTGATTCTGTGAGCTTTTAATGTTGGATCAGTGTGTTTAGGACACCACAGTGAACTCCCCTTTATTTTTATACAAGAGTCAAGACATCTTTTAAGTCCAGTTAAGTTGGCAGATGATACCTTGAGTTAATAGCTCAGTTGAAGCACCACACTCTGTCAATGCTCCACCACTGCATTAGCACTGGAAATGTTAACTTAGATTACAGGCTCAAGACTCAGAGTGAGGCGTGAACTCACAATATTCTGAATCAAATACAGCATTAATCAAAACATGTTTTAATATGTCTTGCTATATATAAATCTAAATAAGCCAAATTTTATAATTGTATAAACATATCAAACTAAAACTTGATGGAGTACAAATAATGCTGACAAGTAACCCACAATTTATAGCATATTATCTCTAATTAACATACTTATCTACTAAACAACAATCGTGAACACCTATTACATAAATGTATTATGAAATACAAATGTGTAAAACATGTTACTGAAAGTTTACCATTTTAAATATTAATTCCCATATGCTATAAAGGTAGGAGAGTGCAAGATCAAAACACTGAAAATAGGAGGAGTAGGCCATTTGGCCCTTCAAGCCTGCTCCGCCATTCACTATGATCATGGCTGATCAGCCAACTCAATACCCTGTTCCCAATTTCTCCCCATGCCATTTGATCCCCTTTAGCCCTAAGAACTATATCAAACACCTTCTTGAAAATACTCAATGTTCATGTCTCAACTGCTTTCTGTTGCAGAGAATTCCACAGGCTCCCCATTCAGTGTAAATGCAGTGTTAACTAAATGATAATAGCAATTGAGATAGCAAGGTGTAGAGCTGGATGAACACAGCAGGCCAAGCAGCATCAGAGGAGCAGGAAAGCTGATGTTTCGGGCCTAGACCCTTCTTCAGAGAATTCTTCAGATAATAGCAATTAAGCTGTTTGAACAGAATCGGTACCAACACTTCAACTAATCTAACAGTTTTGCCCATATTTTTAGCAACTTATTTAATGTTTATGAACAGCTAGTAATCTCACACTTCTTGAATTCTTTGTGCATCTTTAATATGCCTTTTACCCCATTTCTAAAA